TTATTATATATAATTATAATTTATAATAAATTATATATAAATAAATATTATATTTAAATATACAAATTATATTATAGATTTAAGATAAATAAATATATTATTTTAATTATTGATGATTTAGTTAATATTTTAAAATTTAATTTATAAATAAATATTATAAATAAAAAATTGAATTAGATTGGAAGTTAAAAAAAAAAATTCAAACGATCCTATTAAATAATAGTATCTAAAAACTCTTTGGTGCAAAACAATCATTTGTGTTTAGTAAAAGGTTCTCTAAAGTGCAACATGCACTATAGTAGATAAAGTGCAACAATCTTCACTCTTAATTATATAAGCAGTTCAAAACTTTCTAGCTCAATTAAAAATGTCACCTAAATTTATATATATATATATATATATCATTAACATTAAAAAAAATTATGCTCTCAATTGATCTTTATCATCGTTGATCATTATTCTTTACATTTATTGTTCTTTTTACACTTGACATATTTTTTGCACAACTTTATAGGGTTCAATCATACAATAATAAAAAAAATCATCACTACTTTTAATATTATCTTTATTGACTCAATCATTTAACAGGTGCATAAGTGTATTCTTTATTGATCTCACGGCTAAAGAGAGTGAAAAAACTTGATAAAAATAAAGTTTAATTACGTATTAGTTGAATGTTTGAAACAATGAAAATAATATTAAAAGTAACAATGAATATTTTTTGACTTTTGTATAATTGAGTCTCGCAAGGTTGTGCAAAACAATAATCGAGTGTTAAGAAAAATGACAAACGTGTCAAGAAGATCAATGACAATTAAGATCAATGGAGTGTGGAAATTTTATTTTATTTTAAATGTTAATGATATATATATATATATATATATATATATATATAAAGTATTAAATATATGTGACAATTTTAATTAAATCAAAAAGATTAAGACCATTTATATAATTAAGAGTCAAAATTGTTGCACTTTACCCTTTAAAGTGCATGTTGCACTTTAAAAAAACTTTTTCTTCACATTTAATATATAGAGATTAATTATTTACTTAAATTTAAATTCAATCTAATCAAAACTTGAAATATGTGTGATGAGATTAAATTAAATTGACATTTTAACATAGTATATGAATATTAAATTTCAAAATAAAAGATATATAAAATTTAAATTATGGTTTATTTACAATATATTTTTAAAAATAAATAATAATACTATAAATATGATATCATGTTATACAAAATATAGTCTATTAAATGAAATAATATTTATTTTATCAACCTGAATTAAACTAATGTTTTAAAAAAATACAATGATAACAATGAGATTTAAATTTAAAATTATATATATATATATTATTTCAATCCTTTTCTATTACGTTAATTTTAGTGACTAAACATGTAATTTTAGATATAATTTTTTAAACATGTTATATAAGATATTAAACTAGGTTAGGAAAACCTAGAAGATAAATTGTAACAATTCTGAAAATGCACCGGATTTGATTTTAACCGGTTAAATAAAAAGAAAAAAAACTTATTTTATCTGTTTTAAAGTGAATTATTTTTTTCCAAGGAGTAAAATTCTAATGTACATTACATACACATACTATATTGGTGAAATCAATTCTAGGAGCTTCACGGTAAACAAAATTAAAAATTTATATGTGGGAAAATATAAATTTATTAATCATAAATAGTTATTAAAATTATATGTTTTTCACCATATACTCAAATATCACATAAATCTAAAATGTTGAATGAATATAGTTATTAAAATTATGTGTTGTTGATATTTTCTTACTAATATATTAATTTCTTGTAATACTTTGTCATACCAGAATGCTGACCGACACCAAAGGTTTAGTCAC